TATGTTTATGTCAAAAGATACAGTACAAAATCTTTATATTGTAAAATATCATAGCAGTATTGGTAAGATTCTGTGACCTGTACATGTATTCACCACAATAACATGTAATACCAATTCCACACAAATTTGATTGAAATTTATATCTGATAAACATGACCATTAACATAACTTGGATATGGTCTGTGTCACTCTCTATTTGCTTACATGTACCATTACTTACATGTATTCCAGATTTACCATATAACATATGTAAATTTAAAGTTAATACAGAATGAATCAAATATGGCCAAGGAATGTCAAATATGGCACAGGAATTTAATCCATTAAATTTTTTAAAAAATTTGTTTTTTTCAATATTCAATTAGATAAACCACGCTTAAATACAGTCGTGTGACGAAGATTACCAAACACATAAAATAGCTGTGACGACTTCCTTGATTTCCCAATCAACAATCTTAATCCTCTGAACAATCAGTTGAAATTAACAGAACAGAACTAATTATCATAAATAATTACAATAACGATTAGAAAACTATTTAAAACTTTCTTTACACATGTATATCACACTTTCTCTAACTTGTGAAAAACAATGGACCATGCTCTAATTGAGTTGTTCAAAACCATATCCCTGTGGTAGATCCAACAAAGAAAAAAAACACCTAATATGGTCAGTCGTTTTCATAGATTCTATAAGGTGAATCGTTAGGAAACGTGTGAAATGCTTTTGTAAATGCCAACCTTTGGTTATACACAACAGTGGTGTGCACACAGTACTAAACATTTTGCCAATAAGAGTCCTAGTCTATGGCATAATTCTACTGAAGTTTTCAGATTATGAAAATAGGGAAAGGAAACCCTTTACTGAGTTAACATAACACAGATTTTATGGGAAACAATCACTGGTTTATTCTAAAAGCACGATGTTTCGTCGACAAGTACATGTATCCTCTTATCGTTATCAAGCATTCCAATCCAACAATTATGCAATTAAATGTTCAGCCATAAGTATCCATCCTTTAATATCCTTATAAATTATTATCTACATAAAGCTTTGTATGTATACATTAAAGGGACTATCCCTTATTTGAACAGTCTCAAAAATAAAAGTCTGAGTATATATGAAATTTAAACGCCAAAATATAGAGGAATGGTATATTGGCCGTATCTCAAAATTTCAGCTCAAAATATTGAGTCGTTTGGACGTGACCGTCAAAACTGCTTATCCGGACACGCAACCCTTTTAAGATTTGGGTAAATTTTTTCGTTGGGAGACCTGATAATCGATTCCCGTTCATTGAGAGGTCTATACAGTGAATGACCCAAATGCTGTACTTGATAATGAAAGGTAAATTTCACCTACACATCATTTTTATGCAAAAAAATGTCTGGTTTTATCTAGACACCGCATAATACAGCTTGGGACACCATTCTCCATTTCTAAATGAAGACTGACGGATTTCAGTTATTTGAAAACTTATCACAAATATTGACTTAGTTGCTCGGCCCTTAGGTAGAGGATTTTAAGGGATTTTAAAACAAAATTAAACAGTTTTATTCTCCAAAAAATTATCGGGATTAGCCCTTTAAGTTAATCAACAAAAAAAAAAACATTTTAGAGCAGCAATATACATTTATCCTTGTAATTTCCTATTCTGAACAGATAATACCAAAACTAATTCAAACTCTATAAATATAAATTCACAAAGTAGTTTATTAATAGTACATAACCTTGCCAGGGAAAGGTGCCAAATAATTTGTTAAACGATGTCAAAGTAGTATCAGGTGTTTCGAAAAAAGTATCAAATGTTATTGCTGATTTCAGTTTTACATGCATTGTAGCATATTCTGAATAGAATCTACATGTACATGCAAATCTAAATAAGCCATTCTTTCGGTATTGTCTCGCTGACTTCATATAAAATAAATTAAGAAAGTCAGACCTGAATGGATATACATTGTCACTGGCTAGTATGTATAATGGTATGAACAACGTACATACAATGTACTGGTACAGAGCATTATACAAGTTCTATTCTAATAACTATTTTGGTCTCTGTGATGACATACCCATGTTTAGGTACATGTAATTGGCAGAATTATTATCTGGGGTGACAACAATAATATAGGATACAAAGCTGTATAAATAGAAATATTCTGTATTATATAAGAATGGAGAAGACTACAGTGATCAGTAAGGATGTTTCACACTATAAAATGTAAATGTGTTACATCTGTCACTACCAGTGTAATTTAACATCAACACTGTTATATACATACTGGTTCTACCAGTTTTAAAGGCTGACTTTGATCTAATACCTCCATCTCTCTGATACATACATTTGCATGTATTAAACTTTTACCTAACAATAGTACATGTACATGTATACTGTAGAGAGTGGGAGAGAAAGTCTCCATTCAACACAAACTAGGTCATTTCAGGACTAACATTGAATATATACTGTTTAATATTGGGAGGACAAATGAGGTTGACTTAACAACAGACCTTATGATCTAATGTGCATGCATAAGACCACTCAACAATGTGGTTATGATGAATCACAGACCCAGTCGAACATAATCTTGGCTTGTTTTGTCGCTATTTTGCTGGTAAATGTAAATGGTCACTAAGAACTGTAAGGCTCTTAATATACAAAGGTTGTCTCAATACTCAATGGTGATAATTAGGATAATTTTATTTATTGATGTGTTTCATAACATAAATAACACCACAATTTTACGTCTAATTTATGTAGGCACTTGCTGTGAAAGTTTAACCAATTATATGTATTCATAAAAGTCAAACAAAAGCTAAAAAAGTACATGTAACTCTAAATTAAAAGCCTTGAGGCTAGTAGAATTTGAAAGCACATGTTACTTTCCAAATCTATTAAACATCACATGACTAACATGTATTCTGTAGGGCAACCCAATCCTACACACACAGCTTTGTTCAAAAAACATTCTACATCCAAATTAACACTCTGGACAACAGATTTGGGATCTAAATCAAAACCACTTTTTTGTTAAGCTTTTAGTGATAGAATTTGTAGGCAGGCATGTTTGACAAAAAAATAGCATATCTGGTGAATGGTTGAAATTTCTTATAAAAATGGATGCAATTACTGTTTAATGTCCCAACTACTCATTTGGACATTCAATAATCCTTAATAACAGACCATTCAGAACTAGTGTGTGTATTTAATAAAGGACAATCTGATCTCCAGTAACTCATATATAACTCACACCTTACAATACACAATATTTTCAAGTGTGGGTTATTGATCAATATACATTCTGTATGTATGTATAAACAAGTGTATTCCACAGTCAAATATACATGGTATGTAAGCATCCATACTACACTGTATCACACTTATTTTTTGTGCAATACTGTACATGTATAACCAACAAATAAATACCCCTTAAATCAATTGGAATTTATTATGACCCATTAAATACTGAGCAATCCAAGAGTCCTGGTAAATAGGAGGCAATTCGCACTTAATTATACATGTGCATTTTAATAATATTTTAATATATCATGTAAATGCCACGCTGTTTGAATCTGCTTACAAAATCTCACAATAATATAGCGATCCATCATAATACAATCCTAATGTACAATCTTTTAAAAAGGCAAGAAAAGTAAATAAAAGCAAATCAATGCCAAATACATCAATCATTTAGGTCCTTATGAGGCAAAATCTACAAATTGTGAGATTAGTATGAAACATTTCGCTCAGTTAACTTTGTATAATACCGGTACTGTTTCTTACGTAAACATAATATGCAGGACAGGCCTATTATCATTTGAAAGACGTTTTCAAAATGGGGACATCCAAGTACCTGGGAGTGTTCTCCTATTGATCAAAATCCTGGTTTAGCATTGATACTGAAGGTTTAACTCTAAAATGGAATTTACATCCACATGACAGACAACTGGTTCCAATAACACAGTTAATATACATGCTAATAGAAACCATTTCAGTGAGTACTTAATGCTCCTGTAATAATTAATCTGCTATACATGTGTGAAAATCAAATTGCAATGTATTCACTGGAAACCTGATCATTAAATTAATCATAAGGCAGGATAAAATTGTTAATGTGTAGTAAAAACATTGTTATCTATGTTTCTAACTCATTGGAGTTTTTCACACAAAGAAAAAAAGGCATCATGCTCATGGCTTCATTGACTATTCAAATTACATTCCATAAATTACTGAGAATTAAATGGGTTGGGCCATACATGTATTCACTGGCTAAACTTTGCCCCTTTAAATCAGTTAATGGGGTTCGTTCTGATGCCATAATTGATTTTTTACAAGAAGGGCAGTATTCAAAACAATTACAAAAGGCTATATGTATCCTTATTTTCCGAAGCCAAACTTCTATAAAGATTTATAAAACTCAATACTGACAAAGGACTACATAAGTAAAACTTTGTGAGCAAAGGGGCTTTAAATGGATTTTTAGTGGGGTGATTGTCCGTTTGAATTCTTCTTCAAAGGAAATGTTTTGGCCTGGCAAACAAAAGTTTATTCCTTAATTCACAAGTGCACATCAAAAAGGAGAAATTTGATAGGTGTGGGACATGTACATTTTGCACGCTACGAAGGACAAACAGTGTGCGACGAGCACGATAAATTTACCCCATTTCCAATCTATTTCCCAACGATCCGTTCACTCTGGTGAGCACACTTAGCTTTGCAGTCGAGTTCCGTTAAGTTTGTGAAATAAATAAAGCGAGCTTATGGCTCGCAAATGGTTGGTAGGAAATGAAATGATTAAGTTGACACATGTTTAAAATATGGGAGACCATTTACACAGTGAAATGATGACTTGCCCATATCGTTTCCTCTCCAACAAGCAAACAAGGCAAAGCGAATGCAAGCCAACGATCTGCTATCAACCAGTCTCGACAGACGACGAGCCATACTGGATTCATAATGGGCAGATCGATGTGGGGAAAGAAGAGGAATTTTTACTGTCCTGCTTACCTATTTGTAAAACATTTCCAACAGCACCACTTTCTAATAATTTAATCCCTTGATAAAAAGGCAACTTTTGGCTTTCGCAGCTGTCCTTCACTGAATGTGCATAAGATGAATACATACAAATATCGCGTTCATTCCGGGGAAAAGACCAATATACTATCCTATTTTGAACTGGCTCGGGTATCCGATCGTATTGCTGTTCAATCCGTTGAAATGGTATATTTTCCGCCACAACTTTGGCCGATATGTCAAGTAAAGATTCCACATTTTTCCCGTATTCCTTTTTTGAATTAAATCCATTAATCCTGTGTCCGTTTTCACCGTAAGAATTTTGAGAGCGCAAGGTACACAACCTTTTCGTGGCCGCCATGGGGAAACATCTGATACCGAGCACTGTGTATACATGCGCAGACGAAGTAACAGTAAATATCGCGCATGCGTATCTATGTAATTACAGAATTATACCGATTCAGGGCACGCGGGATTCCCTATGGGGATATCCCATCAACTGAATGAAAGGTCAAACTAGCACGGAATCCGGTTACACCAAAGTACTCATTCATAAGCTTTGAAGCGAATCTAGGCTGGCTTTGTAGTTGAATTGGCAACAAAGGACAGGAAAATCATTTCATTCTGTGAGTCAATTGACGGATAGGCGTAATAATTTGTTCAAACAGATAGCAGGATAGATTAGTGTACACCAGAGAAGATAAAGACGCAAATGTTAAAATAAAGACGGATTTTATTGGCTTCTATCTGTAAATCAAAATTAAATATTTTTTATTCAGATTGCGGACATATAATTGGATTGTAATACACGTTAAAAGTGAATATATTGTGGAGTTTGTCATATATTTTCTTCGCTGATGTTGGCAGAAAGGAATGCTTCACCGGAAATTTACTAAAATGTTTGTCTTGAGACTATATAAAATAGCCCGAGGAAATTCATTGCTTTATTTTGTTATTTTTTGTATGCTGCTCTGAAATAGTCTAATAACTCAGCTTTGCAGTAGACTAGCTGTTTTATCTAAATAATTAGAAAATAGCCTATATAGACCTACTTCTCTTTTATTTATATGCTTAACACATGCTTATAAAATCTTGTTGAAACGTCGAAGTGTAGGCCTAGGCCTATTTTACCGTAGTAATTGTCAATTCTTTTATCCATATATCCATATATGGATAATTAGTGTCTTTAGTAAGTGTCCTTGAAAGAGAGAGATAGAGAGAGAGAGAAATGGGGTTTAACGTCCACTCGACACAAACTAGGTCATTTCGGGACTAACATATGGTTTAATTTTATTTACATAATTCGCTTACGCGTAGGGGTCTTTAGCAGTGGGAGGACACCGGAGGACCCGGAGAAAACCCACGAGGTTGGACAGGCGACCCTACTCCTTGTCACGTACAACCGGGGAATCGAAACCACGCCAGTTGACTCAATGACAGACTTTATGATACAGCGCGCGCACGCTTACCATTCAGCCATCCAACCCCCCGTCCTTGAAAGAAACGAGAGGGGGGGTGTACATTTTATATGTACCTATAGAAATGAGATTTAACGCCCACTCGATACAAACTAGGTCATTTCGGAACTAGTATATGGTCCAGTTTTATTTCATTAATTCGCTTGCAGTAGGGGTCTTTACTTTAGCCAGGGAGCAAACCGGGGGACCCGTAGAAAATCCACGCGACCCTATTGTACGTAAAGCCGGAGAATCGAGACCACGCCAGTTGAGTCAAAGACAGACCTTAATGATACAGCTGGCACGCGCTAACCATTCGCCCCCCCCCCCCCCGCCTTGAAGGAATAGAAGAAGACGATAATTTCGACTCTTGGGCCTATACCACGTTGTCCGTCTCGCTGCCTCTCACATTTCTTGTTATTAGCCCACATTAGAGGCTACAATAATACATAGGCCTATAATTATGCCTCACTGAAACGGAGAGTCCTTATTGATTTTCAACGTTGCCAAATCTCGTTAGAACTTTATTGGCTTCGAATATTAACGATCCTTCTGAAATTTATATTGGTTATATCTATCCGATTCCCCAATGTTACAAAATCTTGCTAGAACCTTACCTTCGGGGGGAGGGGGGGGGGGTGTTATGATCAATGGAGCCATAGTGACTCAGTGAGTAAGACGTTGGTTGGCTAAGCTGAAGTTCCGTGTTCGATCCCTGTGACGACCGGGAAAGTCCATCGCGATTTTCCGGCGGCGTGGTTCCCCCTTTTCAGTGGTGCAAGACGAAGGGCCTAGCAAGGGACAAGGTATGGTCGTTCGGATGGGTCACAGAGCCGAGGGCCCGTATACACATTGGGGTGAACGTAAAAGACGCATTGACAGTTGGAATTCGATATAAAGGTAGGCCGTATTATAGCCGCCGAGGTCCGAACAAAATGACACTCATAGCACACTGTATGACGTACGTCCGTCTTCATTAGCCCAGTCGGTGCAGAACAGTAGGACGTTAAACCCCATTTTATTTCATTTCCATTGTGATCCAATCTTTTTTAAATGTTTATGGGTTGTTCAGGTTTTTACTGATGTTGGATGTATATTTTCGTTGGCTGTCAATCTATATCTGTTTAAAATCCCAAATGTGCGATGTACTAGTATATAATATGGTAGCAAAGAATGTAGGCTACTAATAATATTAAGGATGATGATCTCAATCATTGCCTACAGGTGACTTGACAACCATGTCAGCCTGATCTAGTCCAATTGATGGACCGTTAAATCACGCATAATTTTATTTATTGAATGAATAAATCTAATATCCCCGTGAATATAAAGTTATAAACAATAATGTTATTGTTCATTACTTTTCTGTTCACATCAAAATTTATCTGGTCATTTTTGGAAGAATGTAGAGTACCGTAAACTGCCACGAGAAAGGCCACTGCAATGGTAACTCCCACTTAAAGGCCTGCATCTAGTTAATAACGGTAACTGAAATGAACCTATACTCCGTTAAACTACAACAAATATGCGTAAAATACCCAAACCACCAGAAAGCATATAAAAACAATTTAGTTCATGAATGAATTGTTGACGTTGCTCATGACGCGGGACAAACACAAACGGTTCTTTCAGGACAGTCATACGATAAGCATATCTATTTTCATCTTGCTTTAGTCTGCTTAATGATTTTAATCACATTTAAATCTCTAACAGTTTTTTTAGAAAACGAATGGGGTTAGACAGACGGCACTCCTAGCGGTAATAGTGTACTTCGATTAAATTCCGACATAATTTATGTTTTGAATAACAAAATATTTTAATAGAATAGCCCCGGAGCTTTTAATTATAATAGCTTGACGTGTGATGTCAGAAGTAAGTTAGATGAATTTCCTTGAAAATAAAAAAAATAGAATGAGTCACTTTGCAAGGATAAATGACATAAAGGTATGATAATTTAGGTCCCTTTGAGCCTAAAGAGGACAGTTTGCATGGAAAACATTCTCTGACACGATTTTAACCCAACAAAGGATTGGTGAGACACAAAGTCTTCCACAGTTAGTCTCAGAAAGAACGCCTGTTGACATTCGTACAGCAAATGTTTGAGAGTAGTGATAGGCAATTATGCCGTATACTTAATAAATCCTCGACTTTTTTTGCGTATTGAAATCCAGAAGTGACGGCATTATATTTTTCTTGACTCAAACAAATAAAATGTCTATGTAATCTAGTTTCTCATTCCATGCTTGACTGCTAGTAAAATCACGGGCGTTCACAGGCGATGGTAATCAAGGTGTTCGAGCACCCACTCCCCCTACAAAAAAGATTCATTTGCTATCTTCTAAACATCAGCTGAATCGAAAATAAAACATTGAAAACAAAGACAGTCTGATGAACAAGTGATCCGTTTCCCGTGAGTTTTCTTCAATTGTGTAAGCCATAAAGTTTAAGGAGACAGAGTTTAGAATTAATTTCACCTGACTCCGTCCGGCACCCAATTTCAGATCGCCATTCCCACCGGATAGAAACAAATCCTTACTCGTCACTGGCGTACATATTAGATTACTGTTAAAACGCTTGCAGATATACCCAATATATTAGAATATTGTTTTTAGGGTGTATTTTGTGAAAGAAAGTAAAAGCACTAATAATTAATTAAGAGGCCTGAAATATTCTATCAAAATGGACATGTTTATGGGATATTTTGTCACTCCCGAAAGAAAATAAATGATGGGGGTATAGTCAGGGTTCGGGTATGAGAGCCCGCGGCGGAAAATAGTTTGACCATGAAAATAGCTTTATAATTACAGTTGAGATATAAACTTATCTGCGTCTTCGAAATGATAGTTAAATAGCATACCTTTTAACAATAAAATTTATTTCTGTTTATAAGAAAATGAATGAATGGAATGGAATTTAAGGTCCCATTTTTCTACTCCATCCGGGCTATTGAAGACCGGCATACGCCATGCAGGCAAAGTTTGCCTCGGGTTGTCGTACCCTCTGCACCACTGATACGGAAAGACAACATGGGAAAATCCCTATGAAATTTGTCGGTCAACACCGGGATAGACACCCGGGACCCCCCCCCCCCCAGTAACGCCATGCCATTACATTTTAACAGGTGTGACGTATCTGGATACCTTGGGCATCTCCAGTATATATTTAGGCACCCATAACTACTTCAGTTAGAGGGGCGACGTAAACCATCTTTGGAGAAAGCTAAACCCGCAACATGCCAGATTAAGGGATACATATAACTCGGTTTTTGTGCCTTTAAAATGGTAGGCTATATAGGAATAAAAAGGGACGAAGTCTTCGTGGTTCAGCTATTCTTCGTATTGTCTAATTACAGTCATATAATAAACGGTTTCAATGACATTTATTAATTAAACTGGAAATACACAGGTCACAATTATTCTATGGAACGTCATTACTGTTTATTACTAAGCGACGTTTCGACTAGGCTTCTCTAGGCCTTATCACAGCAATGCTAAAATATAAATTATAACGAAACAATATATCGCTGAAATTTTATTAGACATATCGTGTTATAATCGATAAGGACAAAAAAACAATTGTTTTTAAAGATATGCTCACAAACAGACTCCAGCAGCTCACTAAGTTTTCCGTTAATTTAAAATTTCGTCATGGAGCGAAAGCAATAATAAAATGGCGTCGTTCGATTATTGGCGACTGGATGTTTCTGTGGAATACATTTCAATATTTAATGATGTCTCACATAGAATATAATCTATAGATCAGACAACAGTCTGGTAAAACTGACTTTATAACGTTTTAAAATCAATATCCACGCAGCTCTAGAAATTATAGATGCCATTTTATGGTGTCCATTGATATGGCTAAAACTACCAGCTAGAGTTAAATAACCGTGTTATAGTCC